ATGAAAGCCCTTCATGCCATGCCAAGATCCATGTTATTAGTCATCAGTAATGTGATGCCAGTCGACCTCCATGTGGAGTGAACCTGGTAACATTTTGTCCTGGTCCTTGGAAGAGGAACGCAGACATATGTCCAGCTTAGTTGACTATTATTAAGTGACTCTTCACACTGCCGAGAATTAAATAATGTGACACTAAAATACTGCCATCATGTAATGCACATCCTGCACTGGTCTGGTTGGCTATCAATCCAAAGTGAATACCCAGGTTACAAACCTCAGCCAATCACACCAAAGATGCAGCCACGTTACATCATCCATTCCTTCTAGAATGTTCCATGTGACGAAGTACCCCCCCAAAGACAAAGAAATTCTCCTACTTTTAAAACTTCATTTAATGTTGGGTCATGTTACGCAGCTGTCTACATAGCGCCTACTTCATGAGTTGATTGCGTGATACTGCATCATGTGCACTTGGATAATGTGTAATTATAGGGAAAGCATTATTATTAACATGTAATAAAATGGCTGCACATGTGTAGCACTGTCGACACCATTTCTCAATATCGGTTCTTGCTTGGAGCCAGTAGAACTCTGCTGAACCTTATTCAGGGTTTTGTTAACACCCAAGTGACCTCCTGACGGTCCACCATGTATTTCGCTCAGAATGTCCTTCACCCTGCTCCGAGGAATAATTATCTGGGCTACTTGACATCTTACGTTGGCGGATTCCCAGTTGCGCCCTAGTACGCCATTTCTCACAGCGAGAGATTTCCACTGGGCCCAGTAGCTTTTGTACGTGGGACTCCGATCCTCGATATCCTACCATTTCAGTCGTTGGCCGTTTCCTAATTCCTGTAGAATAGGCCCTGTATCTGGATCTTTTAGCTGTTCCTCTCTTAGGGTAACCGGGTCCCAGTCGGCTGCCGGTAGGGTTGCAATAGCGCGTATCTGCTTTACCTCTGCCAGCGTCAGAACTTTGTGGCAGTGCGTACATTGGTCTTGGCAGGGTCGTCTAGAAAGGGCGTCGGCGTTGTTATGTTTCCGGCCCTGACGATGCTCCGAAGTAGAGTTTTACTCCTGTAGACGCTGCATCCAGCTCTCAGTTTGTCCTTCTAAGTTCTTGAAACTCATAAGCCAGGAAAGCGCAGAGTGCTCCGCGCGCAGATGGAACTGTTGTCCGTAGAGGTATTTGTGGAAACGTTCCAGTGTCCTCACTATGGTAAGTAGTTCTCGTCGGGTTAAGCAGTAATTTCTCTCTGCTTTGTTTAGCGCCTTGCTGAAGTAAGCTATGACACGCTCTTGTCCGTCCTGTATTTGAGAGAGAACTGTTCCAATTCCGCCATTACTTGCATCTGTGTCCACAATGAATTTCTCTCCTGGCTGTGGGTAGGCAAGAATAGGGGCAGCACATAGGGCTCCCTTTAGTGTTTGAAAAGCGGCCTCCACTTCTTGAGTCCACTGGAAGGTTTGTTTCTCTTCCGTTAGTCTAATTAGTGGTTCGAAATGTTGGAAAACCCTGAGATAAACCGCCTGTAATAAGTGCATAGTCCCAGAAAGCTTCTAATTTCATGTTTATCCTCCGGGGTCGGCCAATCTCGCACGGCTTTCAATTTTTCCGGGTCGGTCTGGTGATACAATATGACCGAGGTACCTGACTTTTTTTCTGCAAACGTTTACACTTTTCCGGGTTAAGTATCAGACGGGCTTCCCTGAACCTCTCAAACACCTTCCGTAAGTTGAGCATGTGCTCTTGGAATGTGCGGCCTATTACGATCACGTCATCCAAATACACAAGGCATGAATCGTATGTGGGACCCCGTAGGACTGTCTCCATTAGCCTCTCGAAGGTTGCCGGAGCATTACAGAAGCCAAAGGGCATGACTGTGAACTGCCATAACCCTTGATCTGTCGGAAACGCTGTTTTCTCTTTGTCGCCTGGGTGTACATCGACTTGCCAATAGTCACTATTTAAATCAAGAGTTGAAAACCAATTGGCTCCGGCCAGCGTGTCCAGGGTGTCGTCAATGTGGGGTAGTGGAAAGCAATCCTTCTCGGTAACGTCGTTCAGCTTTCTGTAGTCCACACAGAAACGGAGCTCCCCATTCTTTTTCCTGACCAAAACGACCGGGGACGACCAAGGGCTGTCCGATTTTTCTATAACCCCCTATCCTCACATTTTATCAAGCATCTCATTTACTTCTGCTTGTTTTGCCAGGGGTACTCTCCTCGGTGGCTGTCGAATTGGTCGGGTTTCTCCCGTGTCTATGTGGTGATATATTTTATTTGTCCTTCGCAAAGATATCCGCGTACTCGGCTACGAGTTCCTCTAATTCTTGAAATTCTCTGGTGTTTACGTGGGGCTTATTCGCTGTGGTCACTTCCGCTAATTTTGGTTTCAGGCCTGTTGCTGGTGGCTGCCCCACATCGGGAAAAGTCACAAGTGTTACTGGCTCACAGTGCGCCATAGGAGATCCTCTCCTGAGTTTTTGGTCCCTGTTTGTAACATTCATGACCCTCACTGGTACTTCCTGAGTCCTGAACTAGGGTCCTGGCTACATAGATTCTATCAGGCGTATGGGCATGCTGGCTTTGTTCTACTAGACCACTTTCTACTCCCAGATGATTCTCCATTCTAGCCATCACTATTCCCTCGCTCTGTGCTGGAATCACATGGTCCTTTGCCACTACTAACCTGGAAGGGCAGGATCCTGCCCCTGGACTCCATAACGATACTTATTCTTCCGCCAGACGCAGAGTTTGGCGCCATATATCCACAGACGCATCATAGGCGCGCAGTATGTCCAGTCCCAGGATGAGCTCATCTGTAATATTCGCGAAGAAAACCCACATTGTTATCGGTCGGCGCCCCAGGGTGAGTCAACAGAATTTCTTTCAGGATAGGTAGGGGTCCTCCAGACACGGTCTGGAAATCTGGATTTGGCTGTCTTTCAGGCCATCCGGCGGCGATATCCGGTCTTACTACCGTCACGTAAGCTCCAGTGTCCACTGTCACCTGGCACGCCTAATCGCCGACCCATCCTTGGGTGACCAGACTGATGTTGGCTTTCTCCATCATGTCGGTGAGTGCGTAGTGTGGGGAGCCTTAATGCATATGCCGGCGTTCTACCTTCTCCGCCGGCCGTCGCTCGTTTCCCGACGGTTTGGTTCCCTTCCTGTTCGTGTGTTCTTTGTGGCTTCTTGGCAATTCCCGTGTGTATCTGCCTGGCCTATCTTCATGTTCTCGGAGCATTTCACTATTAGCCTTCCTTTCGTAGGGGCAGTTATTCCCGAAGTGGCCCAGTTTTCCACAACTCCAGCACCCTGATTGTCTTCCGTCTCTTCGTTGGGTGGGGGGGCGATCGGTACTTCCGGTATGTCTTTGTGCTACCTTCGTGAGGTCTAGATGCTACCAGTACCGCCTGCAGCTCTAGTGCTTGTCGGAGGGCCTCGTTTACCATCTTCTCCCCTCCCAGCAGCAGCTGAATCTTTATATCGGCATCTCGTATTCCGTATAGAAACGCTTTTCCTGCCTCTCTTCCTATGTGGTCAGCAGGTAGATTGGGGTAGGCACGACGGGCAAGAAGTTCAATGGCCGTGGCAAAGTCCTGCAGGGATTCTCCAGGTTTCTGCGTCCTTGTTCGTAATTGGCAGCGGTAAGCAGCTGCAAAGTGTTCGTCCCCAAAACGGTCCTCCAATGCCCGAAGTGTTTCCTCGTAAGTTGTATTTGTCGGAATACCGGGTAGTACTTCTACCGCCCGGCCCTTCAGAGCGGTGATGAGGTATGTTGATTTTTCCTTGTCCGTCCATTGGTTGTGTTCTGCTATGGTCTCGAATTGTCGCCGGAACACGCTCCACATTGAATTTCCGTTGAATGTCGGTGGCTGAGCTGTGCTCGCGACGATCGTTGATGTATTTCCCCGCTCGGCCTTCGTCTGTCTCGTCTCGTCCAACCGTGCCCGGAACTCGCATTTGGCCTCCTCAATTGTCATCTTTGCTCGATTGCTGTAAAACACTTTTCGCAAGTCTCGAAACATTTAAGGCAATGCCTTAAATTTCCAATCTCAAAATTGGGCCACAACAACAACCATGTCGAATGACAGACATCAGAGAAAATGGTAGCAGAATGGTGTGTGTTCATTTTTTGGGGCCCCTCTGTATATATGCATATACAGTCCTTCTAGGGTCGCCCTGTGGCCCCTATGAGCAGGATATTTAAATGTAGGATCTGAGTTTCTGACAAAGGTGGCTATGAAGAGTTCTGTCTTCTGTGATATAATGCCATGTAGTCCATTGAGAGTCAACTGACGTTTTGGAGGAATATGAATTTGTCGCTGACCACGCGACACCCTACATCCACTAAAGTTGGCACCGACAAGTGTAAGTCGCTTGGTTGGTATAGTTCGCTTGCCAACTACAGGCCACAGAGTTTATCTCTTGATGGATTCATGTTGCCGGCATAGACTGGCAACGGCGAGTAAACAACTGTCGCTAGGCAAAGCGAGTAAAGAGCGGGTGCTAGGCAAAGCGTGTAATCAGCAAATATGACAACGCAATTATCATTGCTTAGCAACGGCGAGTAAACAGCTGTTGCGAGGCAAACGAGTAAACAGCGGGTGCTAGGCAAAGCGTGGACACAGCGGTTGTTAGGCAAAGCCTAAACAATACGGACAGTGACGTGTTTTCTATATGTCCGACTCTTGGTTATATACGAAGGTACATTGAGTGGAAGTTCTACAATTATAGTTCAGTGTTCAAGGAGTTCACTACTATTCCTCAATTCAGATTCGTCTGTATATACTGTGCAACTGTAATAGTTACTATAGAATAGTTCAACAAGTGGTTGTCTTCTCATACATTTTTATTATGGATTATAACCGAAGAAGACGAAATATCTGCATTCTTGGTGCAATCCTCAGTCAGCTTACAGTGCTGATCGTTGGTAAGTATTTCAACCATAATTTCCAAGTACGGTGGCAATATGTTATTAATTAACGGCTTTACAAAATCGCCATTAAATTTTAACGAAATTCATTTGTGGCGTTCGTAAATGCTCATCTGACAAATATTAAAAAATGGATTTGTTATTTTGTGCTTGGGTACTCACTGGTGACCGAATTATTGAAGCCCTGATTTTTCGGATGTGATATTATGTTAGGCGAGTAGGTTATGGCGCAGAAAGTCAGGGTGAATAAGGAAGGTCTGAAGTGTACTGTCTTCTGAGATATATCGCCGTGTAGTCCACTGAAAGTCAACAGACGATTCTGCTACCATGACTTTCCAGAATATGTGGCAGGAGTGCTATTTACTGTTGCCAACTAACACTATGGAACAAAACTTAAAGTCGCTTAGCTCATTAGGATATCTTTCCAGTCCCATGTATGGAACAAAATGGTTAATCGCCGTGTTTGCAAGAGCGCTTTACTTGTACCTGCTCCGAGCCAGATGAATCCATCCCTCATGTCAACATTCTGTTCTCAAAATCCATTCCAATATTATCCTTCCACATACGCCTAGTTTCGCAAAAGCATCGTTCCTGCACCTGCAGGAAGCGTAAGATTCGTGGAAACGTGTAGTGGTACGTCTAGCGTTTGAAGTTGTATATGAAAACAGATTCTTTAGGAGCCTTATTGCGGAGCGTACAATCGTCATTTAGTTACCATTTTAATTGACATGAGTTATAGAAAGCGAGCTTTACTACAGGCTGAACAGTTTCATTTCTGAAAAACGACCTCTAACTTGAAAACGGGTACAGATAGTACTCTCTTTTTCCACATGAAACCACGTTAAGAATAGGCGTGCCTGGGCAAATGTTATACAACAGCAAACGTGGTGGTTTCGATCTCTCTCTATATTAAATAGAAATAAAAGAGCATGTAAATATTATACATTTCATATTTGTGCCTTAACCACACTGTGAACAGCTCAGGCTATAGAGCATTGAATGGTATGGTGCATAATGTTTTGGAGAGGTCATGGCCTACTATTAAGTAATATCAAATATTTGATTGGAGGGAGTGAAGAAAACTGCCAATGACCTGTCACGATAGCCTCTTACTGGGCTCAGATTCAAACTGAAATAGAATTATGTGACGAGTTAGTTACAGTAAGGAACAAGGGCAGAAGGCATTTCACTCTGACTGCACCTCATATCTTCAGAATCTAGATTATGGCCCTCAAGGATTTACATCAATGAATTGTCTGACATCTACCAAACATACAGCCATGATCTTTCAATTCCATGTTATTAATGCTTAAGTCCTTATTTATTGACATATGTTATTTCTCTCATACATTTAAATCGTTTTGCACTTTATTCCATTGCTAGGAATATCATATTTATGTGTGGATCAAGGGCCTACCAGGAGCGACATTTCAAAGGAAGTTGATGTTCTTAGGGAAGAAATACAATTCCTCAGAACAGAGCTCTCTGTGAGTATATGTGTGAAGGCCACTGGCAAATGATTTACTAAAGATGAATGTAATCTACATACTCTGTGTGTGTGTGTGTGTGTGTGTATGTGTATTTCTTATTTATCACTGTGTTTTACACGCAGTCAATCATTCAGTATTATTCAAAACAACAATTTTGCAAAAATAGATGGCAATAAAATGCTATATTATCACAGGATAATGAGTAAACAGTGTGTATTAGACCACTGAACTCACATGCCATGTTAGTGTATTTTTTGTTTTTTCAACTTAAAAAATCTGTGAACACAAGGTTTCAAAGACAGAAACGTTCA